TAAATTAGATTTTATTGTTTAATTTAGAGCAAATAGACTAAGCAAAGAGTCTTGAGTTTCCTAGAGCTAATATCTCAAGTTCTTGTAATTGACAATCTTTAATTTGACAAATTTGAGATTGAGAGACGACTAATACTACTGTGAAATAGTGATGGAATGATCTATGTATAATTAAATGACACTCTTGGTAGTTGATGGTCACCTATTAGTGAATGAGAGAGTCTAGTTCAAAGGATAAATTACGCACTAGCTTATATTTCGGTATTGATCGGTATTTCGGTATATCCCGATCCCAATCTCGTAATCCCTAATACTGAATAACAATTGAAATTCAATCCCAATCCCATAAAATAATACATGTATTCGGTAATACCAAATATAGACAAATTCGGTACGGTATTCGGTATATTCCAAATACTGGTACCAAACTTCCAGCCCTAGGAGTTACCATCAATCTGTGATTAACTTTCAGCCTCATTTCTTCCCTAAGCAGCTCGGCAATGGCAGTGTCAAGATCAGTAGTGCCACGGTGGATTAGTGAAGCTCTAATGGATTCAAACTCAGGCCTGAGTTTCATAATAAAATGCATAACCCGTGTCCGGGTTCTCTCCTTCTGAACTCCAACCGAGGCATCCCCACTCAGTAAGGATGCAGTCACTAGATCATACTCCATCCACAAATTTAAGCAATGTTTGTAGTAGCCCCTTACGTCCCTATATCCTTAAGAAAGAGAACCAATTGACGTTTCCAGCTCATAGAGACGAGAGGTACCTGCCTGTGAGTACGTAGAGCAGATATGCTTCCACATCTCATGCGCGGTGTCGAACCTTCGAAGACTCAACGCTGCCGGAACATTTACTGATGCCAATAGCCAAGTGATGATCTGGGCGTTCGACGCTGCCCATTCTTGCCTATGCTGCTCTGTTGCAGTGTCGACGGGCTATTTTGCCTCACCAGTCAAAATCGACAGCAAGCTTTTGCCTGCCACGAACATTCGGAACTGAAATTCCCACAATGGAAAGTTAGTCCCGTCAAACCTAATTGCGACTGAGTCCGTCTTTCCAGATTCCATAGTCGCAATAACCAGAGTGAATAGAGAACACGTGCGCTGTGACAATCAAGCTGCAACAAGACCAAGGGTAGCAGCAATCAATGAAGAGTCGTAACTCTCCAAGTCAAAAGTATTGGCTTCATTAATTAGGTTACACGATATAATGTACATATACATAGAGGTTCCATAAACCTAACTAAGGCATAATTACAATATGGTACTTCTAATTTCAACACTCACTCCTTTAACCAGAACAAAGAGCTAAGGTAGAGGAGTAGTGTTGGAGAATGAGAGTTCGCGAAAAGAGTGAAGGGCGCTTCTGCTGGTTCGATCAAAGTTCTGTCGCCGTCAACCTCCAATAGAGAACCAAAATCCTCTCGTCTCTCCTTTCCTCTGCAATGGGAACGGCTGGGGAAGAATGGTGAAGAAGGCTGTTGTCATAGGAGTCGAAATGAAGAAAGAAGTAAAGAAGGAAGGGAATCCCTGCTTTTGATAAGTTAAAAAAGGGTAAGAATGTAAATACGGTTTTTAATTTATAAATCCCAAATCATTAAATCCATGATAAAAACAGCTCAACAAATACAGGATTGCTTTAAATTCATAATGTACCAAATTCCTAATAAATCCTTAGGCTTTTAAATCACACATCATGGACAAAACCCCCATTTTAAAATACTTGAAGCAAAAGATCCCTTAATTAACAAAATTTCCTAATTAGTACTTTGCAATCCTACAAATTAAGGATTTTGAACAACAGTTATCATCTGCGTTCCTTCAATAGGAGATTTATTGGAAACAAAAGTCTAGGAATATTTGGCTCCATAAAGGGGATTCAAAGACCTACTTTTTTCATACCATTACAACCCAGACGAGAAGGATGAATACAATCCTCTACCTGAGAGATGATAATGATATAGTGCATTTAGAGGAAGGAGCTAAAGCCAACGTGGCTATCACATACTTCATGGGGATCTTCCTATCTAATCAACCTTTAGTTCATGACTTCATAATAAGGTTGGGTATCCAAAGGAAAGTGGATGATTATATGAATTCATGCTTGTCAGCAATAGTTACTAGAAAAGAGATAAAAGATGCTACCTTCTCCATCGACCCTTATCAAGCCCCGGGGATTGATGGTTTTACTGGTATTTTCTTTCAAACATTTGGGATATTGTTAGAGAATCACTATGTGATGCCGCCCTTTCTTTCTTCTACACAGGAAGATTATTACATAATTTCAATCATACTTTTATCACGCTTATACCCAAGATTCCAAATGAGACCTATAGGACTCTGCCAAGTGTTCTACAAGATCATTGCTAAAATACTAGCAGATAGACATGGTCGTTTCCTTCCTTTAATTGTAGGCTCTAACCAAAACGGCTTCGTAAAAGATAGATAAATTACAGATAATATCCTAATTGGTCAAGAAGTGATGCAATTTCTCAAGACCAAAACCCAAGGCAAGGAGAAATGGATGGCTTTGAAGCTAGACATGGAAAATGCTTATGACATAGTAGAATGGCCCCTTTTATTCGAGTTATTGAAAGGCTTGGGCTTTGGAGACAAATGGCTCAAATGGTTAAGGTCGTGTGTGACAACTATATCTTTCTCTAATCATGGATACTTTCATCCCCAAAGAGGCATTCGGCAAGGGGATCCTCTCTCCCCCCTCCTATTCACTCTATACACTGAAGCCTTTTCCTCCCTTATAGAGAATGCCATTAGTAATTATACTTTTCATGGCCTGCGTATACATAGGGAAGCTCCCTTGATGTCCCATCTTTTCTTTGCGGATGACTCTTACCTTTTACTCCGAGCATTCTCTACTAAATGTATCAACTTGTTAGAAATTCTTCATGATTACGAAGTTGCGAGTGACCAACGTGTTAATCTTCAGAAATCAGCTGTTACATTCAGCGCAAATGTTTTAGATTATGAAGCTTCTCACCTGGCCGGATTGCTTGGTGTGTCAATGATTGGGGCTCATGATCGATATCTAAAATCCAAACCTTCCGATATATTGAGGACTCTTTAGCATCCCGAATACGCCAATGGAAGACAAAACACATGTCCTTGGCTTCCAAAGAAGTAGTCATTAAAGAGGTAGGAACAACAACGCCTACCTTTTGCGATGTCATGCTTTAGACTTTCGTCTCAACAATGTAGAAGGATGAATGGGCAACTTTCAACTTTTTGGTGGGCAGGGCAAGATAAAGAAAAAGGTTTGCACTGGTTATCATGGTCTGCCTATAGTTTCAACAAATTTGAAGGAGGGTTGGGCTTCAGAGACTTTGATAAGTTCAATGTAGCAATGCTAGCAAAACAAGCTTGGAAACTTCTTTGTAACCCGGATAGTATCCTTGCTAGAATGTATAAAGCTAGATACCATCACAATGACCATTTCCTTCAAGCTCTCCAGGGAGCCTGTCCTTCATGGGCTTGGCAAGGTATCTTGCAAGGGAGAGACCTATTGAGCAAAGGCTTACGTTGGCATGTAGGATCAGGATCTAGGATAAATGCGTTACAAGATCCTTGGCTTCCAACAGACCCTCCATCTAGCCCTGCCCTCCTAACAGGTGCTTCCCTTGATCATCCATTGGTGTCATTCCTTCTGGACTCTAACTCTATAGCCTGGAATACAAACTTACTTAAGACCATGCTTCATCCGGTTACAATCGAAAAAAATCTTATCCATCCCCCTCCCATCCTCCCCTCAAGATGACAAATTGATTTGGCACTATGACAAGCCTGGTCACTACGCAGTAAAATCAGGATACCATCTCCTTTCGTCTGGATTAAATCCACTCGCCAATGCCCTTCCAGATTTTTTGAACACCAAATTCTAGATCTGTGGAATATTCCAATATCTCCCAAACTCAAATTCTTCATCTGGAGATTGGTACGTGGATTCCTACCAGTTAAAGGAGTTCTGTTTTACAAGAAAATTACTTCTTCAAGTCTCTACCCGGTGTGTTGTGAGGCAAATGAGGACTTCAAACACTGCTTTTTGATTGTAGAATCACTAAAGAATTGTTGGCAATATCAGAACTCGACCATATTAGAGATATGATGAAGGAAAACTCTATGGACCTTGCGTGTAGAAACCTCTTTTTTACTCCTCATATCTCCAAGAACGATGTAGCCTGCATAGTCTTCTTGTTCTGGAGAATATGGAAAGACCGATGTAAGGCTACTCATGGATACATCTTATACAAAGCGCAAGTTTTATACAGGCAACTATCAGCGCAGATGGAGGAATGGAAAACATCAGAAGCACAGAAGGTCCAGAAGTCCGAAGAAATCCAAAGGCCATCACCACACTCTTCCACATGGCATAGTTCTCAGACACGGAGAACATATGCTACATGCCCTAGTGACGGTGTTCTAGTCCGCTTCGATGGAGCTACAAAATTTTTCCAAGGATGCTCTACTGGCTTCGTTGGTTTCTCAGGTGATGGAGTCATTTCATTTGCAGTTGGTAAATTCTATGATGTCATTACTGATCCTTATACATCAGAATTACTTGCTATCCGTGATGCTATGAGATGGTGTCTCACCCATAATTTCTTGACTGTTGTTTTTTGTGGGGACTCTCAATTGGTGATCAAGGACGTAACATCGAAGCAGGCCTCTCATTCAAGAGCGAGAGCCATTTTAGAGGAAGTTCACTCTCTTCTTCCTTCCTTTTTCTCAGTCTCGTGTCACTTTGTTACTCGGAGTTTCAACAGAGCTGCTCACCTCGTGACAAAACATGCTCTTTTATCGGGAGTCCGGTTGCATACGGACTACCATTCTTTGTTAGTGTCTCTGTGTTAACTGTGTTGTTCGGCCATACCTTGAGCTTATCTTGGAGAGAGAAAAAAAAGCGAAAAAATGAAACAGGGGACAAAAGCAAATGACGAAACTACCGCCTACCGGCAAACCCCAACCCCACTCCCCAGCAACCCCATCTGCCACGCTCTTCCTAACATCCCCCGCCATTGCCATTGCCATTGCCGAGGTATCACTTTCCTTCCTTCCTTCCCAAATCCCACCACTGTTCTATCACTCAAAAAATCCATCAACAGTTCAACACCGCGACAACCCGGCCATCTTCAACACCCATGGCATCTTTTCTCTCATCTTCTTTTCTACCCTTGACGTCCCCAAATTCTGCTGCTATCCACATTCCCAAATGCAGAACCAAGACCTGCCGCCGAAGAACAACACTCCTACCGCCGCCCGTTACAGCTTCTTCATCTTCCACCGGCAATTCTTCACCACAACTGCCCAAGTTGGTCACTTTCCTCGGGAAAGGAGGCTCCGGCAAGACCACTTCCGCTGTTTTCGCTGCTCAGGTAACCTACCCGCTTCCCCAATTCCGATTCTCATGTCAATTTCTCCATCAATGGGTTGTTTTGGCTGATTGTGGTTGAATTCGTTTTTGGCAACCGAACCAGCATTATGCACAGAGCGGGCTAAATACGTGCCTGGTAATACAGACCCAGGACCTATCTGCCGATCACCTCCTCAACTGTAAGATTGGAACTTCTCCCATTCGCTGCAATCAAAACCTTTCCGCTGTTAGGCTGGAAACCACCAAAGTGTGTTGCTTTCTTACTTCCAACTTCCCTCTTTTTGTTCCTTTCAGAGCAATTTTCATTTCTTGGTTCTCTGGTTTTTGTTAGCAGATGCTTCTTGAGCCTCTCAATCGACTGAAGCAAGCTGATGCTCAACTTAACTTAACTCAAGGTGTTCTTGGAGGGGTAGGTATGTAGATGTTGTAGCTTTTCCATGCTCTTTTCCGAAGCTTAAAGTTTGACCCTTTTCTCACACACATTTCTTTTGGGTTTGTGACAGGTGGTAGGGGAAGAGCTTGGGGTGCTTCCTGCCATGGATTCTGTTTTTGGTGCATTTGTCCTTGAGAGGCTAGTTGGATTCTTAACAGATTTGAAGCAGAAGGACAAACATGAGCAAAGATATGACATTATAATTTATGATGGAATTAGCTCCGACGAAACTCTAAGGATGATAGCTGCTGCATCTAAGACAAGGTTAGGTGAATTCCTTGTCCTTGAGAAGGTCTTGTTGATTAGTGGTAAGCATAATGCTGATACCTCTGTGTGTGCCTAGATTGTATTTGAAATATGTGAGGAACATGGCTGAGAAGACGGATCTCGGGAGGTTGGCTAGTCCTTCTGTATTGCGACTGCTTGATGAAGCGCTGGATTTAAGTGGTAGGAGTTCCCACTTGAACGGGCCTAGGAGTTCTGAAATATGGGACATTCTGGAAAAGAAGTTGGAGGTATATAAAGTGCTGATTATTCTTCACCTTCTTAAAGTCAAGTTGCTCTCTCGATCAAACTAATGGGATTCAACATCTTCTTGTATTTTGCAGAAGGGGTCTTCTGTGTTTGCTGATCCCAATCGATTTGGTTGCTTCCTAGTTATGGATCCAAACAATCCAGTCTCGTTGAACTCTGCATTACGTTATTGGGGGTGTGCAATCCAGGCTGGTACAACTGTTTCAGGTGCCATTGCTTCAGCATCTTCCCCGTGCTTGAGTGATGAATCATTGATGGAAGAAGTTAAGCAGAAGTTTTCGCCTTTGCCTTACGCATGCCTTCCGAACTTATCAATGAATCATCATCCTTTGACTTGGGATTCAATCATGCATAGTACCTCACCCAACCATGAGGCAAGGGCGTTGTTTTCAGCAGCAAGTGATCCCAGTAGTAGTAGTAGTAGTAGCAGCAGCATAACACCACCAGTGATGTTTGATGCTGCGAGGAAATCAGTCACCCTTTTCATGCCAGGTTTTGACAAGTCAGAGATTAAACTATACCAAGTAAGCCTCCTTTTGCACTTGTTTTCTCAGCAGCTTTTAGCTTGATCTCTCAGTTTCTTTATGGTTAGTTGACTCTTGTATTTATTTCGTTTTGGTTTGATAAATGGTGCAGTATAGAGGAGGTTCAGAATTGCTGGTAGAAGCAGGGGACCAGAGGCGGGTGATTCTTCTGCCACCTAAAATCCAAGGGAAAGTTGGAGGTGCCAAGTTCATTGACAGAAGTCTGGTGATCACTATGCGATAGCTGCCCTTATTTTGATTGTATGATTACTGATTGTTACGTGTCTATCTCCACTCGAGTAATGTACTTGTTCTTACCCTCAGCAAGTTGGAAGCTGATATAGTTACTTATTGCAAAAGGAGGAGACCATAACAGGGATCTTCAGAGACTAGAAAATACCTTCCACAAGTTGGATTTTTTAGTGAGCAGTCTGTGACAAATATCAATCGATCTCTTATTCCTTTCCTTTCCTTTTGAACTTTGCAATATGCAGTTGACAAATCGATATACACCATATACATTCCCAGAAGAAAACTGAAAAAGCCATATGAGATCAATCACTGTTCCGCTGCTACTTCTAAATCATTACTCTCATCATTTTCGCCCTTGGAATTTACACGATTCCTTAACTCTTCAAAAGCCCTCATGCTTTCAGCGTCAAACCCTCCAGCAAACTGCCAAAAGTTTAGATATTGTTATGCCTGTGAATAAGAACTTGGGGATGATAATGAAGGGATACCGAGGACTAATAGAAGAGAACACCAACCTGATGAACACGGAAAGCAAAGCGCACGCCTTGCAGTAGCAAAAACTCTCTGTTGGGTTCCTTCTCAGGTCCGCTCATGACATCGAGCTCCTCTGAAACACGTTTCATGTACTTTCTTGCCAGCTGAACTGAGGATAGCTTGATCTGCAAGGCATGAAAGAATAAGATATCAAATTGCATATCTATCCATTACATACGGGGAAAATCAAGAAACTTTGTCGAATCCCTTTTGCTACCTTGCCAACAACTCCAGAGTCCTGCAGCCAATCAACCGGGATCCCAAACTCCTTGTACCGTGACATCGCCATGTCCCTTGTTCGCAGAAGTGCATACACACTATTCTCCACCCTGGTAAAAAAAATGGCGCAGTGAAATGTCAAGTAAGGAACCAAAGAGGGAAATGTTAGCAAGAAAATGAGAGCTGTTTCTTTTATTTATTTATTTTTTGACAAGAAAATGAGAGCTGTTGCTAACGTACTTCTCCAGCAGTTTGTACATCTTCTTGAGAGCAGCCTCACACGGGAGACTAGAATCATCCTCAAACGACGTTACATGCTTCTCCAACTTCATCAAGTCCTGGTACTCAAATGCTGCCTCTCTCAATGCGTCAGCCTTGCTTTCGGGCCACTCAAAGTGCTTCAAAACTGCCCGTTCGTCCACCTATTCATATACAGATAAAGAAAAACCAGCATTATTAAGACAGTTTCAATGTATGAGTAAGCTACGAAGGAAAGATACAATGAAGGGTAGCTTACCAAGAAGGAGAGTTCCTCATCTAACCAATTCACAAATGCTAATAGGTCATTTATGTTGGTAAAAGACGATGCCCTGACTTCACTTGCTAATGACTCCACAAATTCGCCTTGAGTTTCCACGTCAGCTTTAACAGCTATGAGGAATGATGACCTGTTCTCAATCTCCCCAATCATATTGCTTCGAGCATCCGAAGCATTGCCTGTTGATGAAGAAATCAACGACGTTGTATCCTTCTTTGCCTCCCGCTTCATCAACGACTGATAGAATTCCACCAGCTCAGGTGCCCTGTGAACTTTACTCCCTCCCCCACCTCTCGGTAAGCTTCCAGGTGGTGGAGGTGGTGGAGGCGGCCCACCAGCACCTCCAGGAGGAGGAGGTGGTGGTGGTGGTGGTCCACCTGGGCCACGCGGTGGAGCAGTAGGAACTCCACCTGACAGAGAAGAACCTCCAGACTGTTTAGGTGGCGGCCTAGGTACTCTAGGAGGCCTCTTCTCAATGTCAGCAAGTTGAAACTTGCTGACAACTGGAGAGTCAATGGACTTCCCATCCGCTGACTGCTCCTCCTTTGACTCACCAGTAACAAGCGGTTTCTCTTTCAGCTGAGCTAGTTGTGATGGCAGATTCACAGGTCTACCCCCCTTCCCTCTGGAGGAGTCGAACTGCGTTGTATTACCAAATTTCACAGCCCTAGCTTGCTCAGCTCTTACCTTGATATGCTTCTCCCTCTCCAGTGCCAACTTATGCCGGTCCTTGTAAGCAGGGTACTTCTCGTCCATGACTCCATGAACCGACTTTGACATTAATTGGAACGATGAAGCAACAGAGTTTAGAGAATCATTCTGAGAGGCCTGTGTTTTGATGAGAGGAAGATTTAAGGTTTCTGGAGAGTCAGGAGCAGCATCTTGATCCATCTTCCCAAATGTGGTAATGGCCATATTATCCCCTGCATTTCTCAGCATTATTGCTTCTAATGGCCCCCTAGGCTTGAAGCTCATGCTAGCCCTGCTTGGGGAGCCAGTTAGAGACCTGGCAGGTGATGAAAAGGCGCTTGAATCGTCTTTGCTCCTGCTTCCCCATTTCTTCAGCTTCTGCATCAAACTTGGCTTCCTACTGAGACTGCTGTACCTGCTGAAAGAACTGTCCATGGAGGCATTGTCGAAATCTTCGCTTCCAGGGGAAGATGGATGGGAGAAGTTGCTTTCCATGTCGGTGTCACCGCCTTCGCCACCACGTTCTGATCCGGCATAGTCTAGCATTAGCTTCTTGGCCCTTTCTTGTGACTTGGGGCTTAAGTTTTTGCTGAGATCGCGGGCTGAAACTTTTCCAGGGGGTGCTTGGTAGTTGCGGAGCTCGTATCTCAAGCATGCGTTGACCCAACGGAGGTAGACTAGCTCTTCGACTTCGCTGAACCTGTTCATTTGAAGTCCTTCTACTTGCTTCAGTAGGTCTTCATTTGCATGCCGAAGATTGCTGACCTCCTCTCTTGCATTTGCCACTAGCTCATTCTGCAATCATTAATAGTACAAAGCAACAGAAACCTTATTAACTCAGGGTGCTCGGTGTATTCCTTCAGAAAATTATGTAAGAAAAAATGAAAAAAAAAAAATGATCGACTTCTTCAGAGTGCTCTTTCAAATACTACCCTACCCAGCATGCATTTGTGATTGCATCATTTTGATACATTTGAGATTACCACGTGCTATTGCAAATACACTCTAATAAATCAAAAGTGTCATTGAGAACCAGTAATACATGCCCTTACAATACCACCATCCCAGATACACTCAACCAAATGATCTGTCAAGAGTGTTATTAGAAACAAATATGCACTTATAGCAGGACTATGCAACTTACCTCGGTCATATTGGATATGGCTGTTATCTTCCCTTCAGCAGCATCCAGCTTGACAGTCAACTTTCTCTTCTCATGCTGAAGCTCTCGATTCTTCCTCTTGAGCTCAACAACCTCCATCTCTAGTTCCTTCACAACCTTCATCTTCTTTTCAGCCTCAACATCTTTCCTTACAGCTTCTTCCTCTTTCGCCTGTAGACCCAAAACCTGTTGTTTCAGCAACAATAGCTGCCCCTTTGTCTGGTTAGAATCCAGCTGTATTTGTCTCTGAAGCTCTCTGATTTTTTTCCTTGCAGCTTCCAACTCTTTCCTGGCAGATCCTCCACCTTGTGCAAGCTCATCCTGAAGTCTCTTCTTCTCAGATTGGAGTGAGTTAATGGTTATGTTCAACATGTCAACCTCCACAGTCTTAATTTTTAACTGCCTCTGCATTTCAACAACGTCTGATTCTTGCTCCTTTAAGCCATAGTACTCCAACAGCTCACCTTCAAGTTTTACTTCTCTTTCTTCCAATTCATTGACTAACTTGCGAAGGCGTTCAAGTTCGCTGGCATGGTTTGCCATCTCACTTTCACAGACCTCGTTTTTCTCCTCGGACAAATCGAACTTGTCACTTGGTAATGAATACTCGATCTCCCCTGATAAGAAATCCTCAAATTCAGGAAAAATGTCATCTTCATCATCTATACCAGGTGGCACACCACCACCATGAACACCATTTGATATGCTGTTGATCAATTTAACCTCCTCTTTCTCTTCTTCTTCTTCTTCTTCCTTCTCCTTGATGTTACCATCTGGATTAGGAATCTGCCCTCGGCCATTCCGTTTGCTTCGACGCTTACCATTTTCTGAAACCAATCATGAGAGAAGGAATGCAAAGCACTTTGAGAAACAGAAGAGAATCATTCAACATGCATATTTTCTATCCACTTAAGCATTATGGCCTAATTCTGCTATATTTTTATTGGTAAGAAGAAAGGAAAGCTGCCATCCTTTTCTCCAAAAATGAATGGACGAAGAGAAGAAGGAGATTGAATGAGTTATTAGTATATTACCTGAAGCTTTCTGCTTAACAGCATAAGCTGCAATGGAAGCAGCAACTACGAGGCCTACCCTGACAATCATGTGGGTACTGAAGATTGAAAACTCTTATCTTCCGAACATCTATACCCAGAAACCAAGAGTTTCCAAAACCCTCTTGCCTCATTTCTTCTTCCCCAGCTCCATGACAGGAAAACTAACTCAAGCCATGAGAGAGCCAAAGGGGAATTGCAGACTAACCTAGAACCCTCCTCCAGCAGTCAACAGAGACTTATTGGATGATGATTATTCCGACATAAATCCCACATAATGCATGGGAGAGTTAATGCACGGAGAAGTCCAGCAAGCTAACGCTCAGAACATGGCTATCTGTGTTAACAGGGTCACAGAATTTTCAGACGAGGGAGAGGGACAGTTGCCGACTGTTGAAAAGCAACCAAGGTTGGAGATAAGCAGAATTCCAACGCAATTGTCAAGCTAAGGGATACAGCAACCACGAGCACAACAAGTGGCCCACGTTTTTGCTCGAGAGATAAGTAAGTTCGCCAATTCAAGAAAAGAAAACCCGTCAACACTTAACAGCCTGAAAGTGACACAAGGTTAAAGCTGCAGAAACTGTAACAGAAGAGCAAAAAGAACAGCCCCACTGCTAATCTTATCTCTCTAATTAATGAGCTCGGCTGGCTGTTATGAGGAGCTCCACAAGTTAGCTATCAGTCCATATCTTATTTCCTACAAAAACTTAATTTCAACTGCCAGCTGAACTGATAAAGTAGAGTAAACCCTAGAATTTTTCCTTCTGCATGGCAAAAGCACAGCCCATCTCAGATAAGAACAATATCCCAGAAAGTGTTTAGCCTTGAAGGTGAACTTGATGCCTTGAGAAAGTGCAACTTCCATATGAGATATGACTGACAGGCAGCCAATCCCAATATGGAAAGGGACATAAAAAGGAGGGATTTTGATTATAAGGTTGTGAAGCCAAGAACTTGAGGACACATTATCTGGA